TCTTTCCTACTCCACCACTTTTCTGCCTCTTCTACACCATAGCCTATGGCTCTCCCACCGGGACTCCATGTAAAGCGTCTGCTTCTCTGCAAGAGGTCTATGTGGGGTAAGGGTGACTGAAGTTTGCTAACAGTGCCGGGCTGCTGGGCAGAGAAAGAGAGGGCTGGAAGCCTGGCTTCCAGGAGAATCATGACCTGGTGTCTACAGGGGAAACTGGGGACATTCTCACCTGGTTAATCTTTTCACAGAGAATCCTGAAGAATTTGGACCACAGCTGGAATAGAGCACCACAGAGGTGCAGCTGGACGTAGAGAAGAACAGGCAGGAAGAGGAGTAGCAAAAGCTGAGACTGATCCAGAGATCCTGACCAGGATGGAACAGGACAAGACAGGGAGTGAGGCAGGTAAGAAAGCACCCAGCAGGACTGAAGCTATGGCTCACTGGTGGATTGTTTACATAATGTATATGAAACCCTGGGTTTGATTCCCAAGCACTCTGACACAGAAAGAAAGGAAAGATAAAAATGAGAAGGGGAAAAGGTAGAGTGAGAAATGGGTGGGAAAGGAAGAACATACAAGAAGGCAAGGCAAGTCACAGAGACAGTAGAGAGAGATGGAGTAAACAGCACAGGGCAAATTTGCTGGAGACTAAGAGCCAAAGAAACCGAGACAAGGGAGGGGCTTCCCCAGGAGGAGGAAGGAGGAGGCAGTGTAAGGGAAGGGGCATCCAGGGTTCCTTGTGGAAACATCCTGCCACTGAGAACTTCCCAGGCTTGTAGAAGGCCATCCTAGCAGATCTCTGACTGACCTGAACCCCACTTCCAGGGAAGGCAGTTTCCTTCTAGGTGGGGACAGGTCTGGCATGGTTGGAGAGCCCCCACCCTAAACTCCCTCTTACCTGGGTTGGAGAAATCTCTGTCTGACAGTTCCTAGCACTCCAGCCCCTTATATCCCGTCCCATGTGCCTGCTGCCTAAATTTGGAGTCATCTGCTGAGACCCTCCCTCCCACTTTCCTCCTGTTCTGGCTCCTCCTCCTTTGATCCCTTGGCTCTGAGGTGACAGGAGGACAGCAGGGCCCCGAGGTTTGCCCATGAAAGGTCTGTTGCCCTCGCCCCTCAGCTCCATGGCCTTTTTTTAGTCCTTGGGCACATTCCTCCTCCCCAAAGGGCCGATGGGCAGATAGAGGAGAGACAGGACCATCTCACACCACCTCCCTACCCACATGGCCCTTACCTCAGTTATTTTTAATCTGAAGGGTGAGTTGAACAACTGGGTAAGGGTCACCTTCTCTTACAGGCCTAATATTTGTCCCCTGCCTCCAACACACATGCTCCTATCCGTAGCTCCCCTCCCCCTTCCCACCCTGGCTGTCTACACAGCTTCAGACTGAGGGATGCCTCCTACTCTCTCGGACCTGGAGTTCCACAGTGCTTGGCTCCCCAGAGACAAAGTCATGATGTCCAGGGAGGGCATCCATTTTGCAGGTGCATGACTCAGTTTCCTTTTGATAGTAAGAGAATTCTACACCTCCCATCTTCTCTCTCCTTACTCTGTACAGATACTGTCTGTGGTCTCTGTAGACCACATCTCTAGACAGGTGTCCTCCAAAGACCTTGCTACCTTGGTTCAGGGACACATATAGAGTCTCCATTCTATTTTCGATGGTCCCTGACATGCCGGCCATCATCCAATCTCTTTAAACCATGGGAGGGACTCACCAACTCTTCTTTGGGCAGTTTACACACAAACCTGCAGTCTGGTAACGTCACATACAGAACTGAACAGCTGCACATCCATGCCCATTTTCAGTCAGACACACACACACATGCACACAGACTTTACACATTAACCCAGGTAAGCCTGCAGATTTTCTTTCTTGTTTCTACACACACTGATGCATATATCATACACAACCATGTTTGGACATGTAGGTTTTTACCCCCCCCCCGCAACCCTCCACTACTGACAGGAGGTAGGAAAGGGGGAAGGCCAGAGGTGTTAATCCTGGGGCTGAGGGAGAAGGGGTGTGAGTGGAGGGTTGCCCCTTCCGCCTCTCCAGGCTGCCAGAGGATGCAGGTGCTGCTTCGGATGCCTGGCAGGCCCAGAGATTTACACCAGTTGGCCTCAGGCTCCAGATTCTGTGGGTAGAGGCTCTGTAGACTGACCCCTTCCCAATTGCCCTTCTCTAATCCTCCTGGGGCCTTATACTCACATGCATGCCCTCCTTTGTGGCACCATCAAGCACCCAAGGCCCAGAGGCAACCCCTGTCCTCCAGGGCTGCTGTTTTTTCAGAGGTCGTAGGTGTTGGGTCTTTAGCAGGTCATGCCTGTTATAACTAAGTAGACGCTGTGTTCAGGAGACAAAGCCAGACTCCCCTGCTCTGGCTTTCCCCCACACCCTCACACCCAGGAACGCTCTCCCTGCTCCCAGCTCCCACCCTGTCTACTGTCACCTCTCAATATAGCCCTAGAGTGTGGAGGTGGGTAGGACACACAGCGGTCAGTTTTTCTGGGTACAGCACTCTCAGTGATGTGGTGTCTCCCCAAGGTTGCCAGCACCTAGGATACTTCACTTCCTTTATGGTGGGTGGGTGCAGGAGCATACACTTCTCTCCAGGGGTCTTCGATCTTGCATGCAAGTATTCTTGAAAGGACCCGATTCAACCTTGCATTCCCTTTGCAGGTACCTATGCCAAATGGTTGCTCTCAGAGGATAAAGGCCACCTGTCTGCAGCTGTGTCCCTGGAGGTCACTTGAGGTTCCTGTGTGCAAGCTGCAAGGTTAGCCCATGGCCTAATATGTCACTGCCCGATTCTCAAGCTCTTGAGGGCATGATAAGGTACTGAGAACATTGGGTCAGCCTGGGTCAGGTCCAAGCGACAAAGGCCAGGCTCTGTCCTCAGGGAACCTAGTATGCCACTCAGGCCAAACTTGGTATAGGCAGTGGGGGATCATGGGGGGATGGTGGGCACGGAGTTTCCATTGCCTCCTATGGAAGATACAACAAGGAAGGAGTTAACTCAGTTCTGGGCTCTGTCCTCTTGTGTGGCCTGGTTTGCCCTCTTCTTCCTTTCCTAGGCCCCCTTGTCTCCCCTGGCTCTCTCACATTCTTTTCAGCTGCCTCCCAAGCCAGCCCTGCAGTCTGATGAACATTCTAGAGTATGTGGACACAGATGGACGCTCTGGTCACAGGTGAGAGGACCATCCCTTTGTTACCTGGCTCCCCCGTCTCTGTCTGTTCCTGTGTCTACCTTCTGTTCTTGTCTCGACACCAGCCCTAGCCTCTACTGTTCCGACACTCATACTGGGGCTCTGCCTTCAGCTCGCTGATCTCACGGAGAACTCAACCTGGCTTGTCCTTGCTTGCATGTCTTGCCCCAGGTTCTTCCTCTACTCTCTCCAGCTTCCCTTCTCTCCGGCTTTCATGATTTACATCTAAAGGTAGCCTGGGTTCTTCCCTTTACAATATCGCCTCCAGCGCTTCCAGATTCTGTCCCAGGCTCCTTCTCATCTCCTCCCCTCTGAGCATCCTCTCATCTTCATCCATTCTGAGCATCATCCTTCTCTTGGGATCTACCACCAATCCTTGACCCTCTGTGTGTGCACAGCCTGGCCGTCTTTGCAGCACCTTTATCTCTTGCTCTTTTAGGCTCTGGCTCTTAGTTTCCCTGGACTCCACACATCTCCTCCTTCCACTGTGATCCGCTTTAGAGTCTACAGATCTCTTCACTGCTGCTCAGGTCTGTTCGAGGAAGAAGAACGGGCTTAGGGAGGGAATAGGGATGAGGGCATAAAAAGGAGACTTGGGGGACCTGGGCTCTTCCTGTGGCCTCATTCTGCTCAGAATCTCTTCCTTTTCTGTTTTTTTTTTTCTCAAGCCATGTGTTGCTTTCCCATCTCTCCTGACTGCATCTGATTGGCCTTTCCTTTTTCTTTATTTTGTTCTTTGTCCTCCCTCACCTGCAGTTTTTGCTATTGGTTATCAGCCCTTCATCCTCAGCACAGGGCCTGTGGTTGCCTAACTCAGTGATCAGGACACAGAGAGAGCTGTTGAACAGGAGTCTGGCCATGCACACGTGTGTCTATGGGTGTTATTGAGGGGAGATTCAGCCCAGAGCTGAACCAGGTTCAAAGAGATGTCTTCAAATCCCATCAACTTTCAGACTCACACTCCTAAACCTACCCTCAGCATCCCAGCTGTGGCAGAATATCTAGGGAACTAGCTTTGTTTAGCAAGAATAGACTCTTTTTTTCTACCCCTAGGCCCTCCAGTGATTTAGTTCCCCCTCCTTTCAAGCTCTGGTCCCTCTGTTGTCTGCTTTCTCTTGAGATGCCTTGCCATACATAGGGCCAAACTGTATCTTCCAGCTGCTGCAGAGGTAAAAAGCCTTGCAAATGGAAGTCACAGTGGGAAAATGGAGAAGAAATGAATACCATAGGCCAGGGGTTGGGTCCTGGGAGGATGGGGAGGAAGAAAGAAAGGTAGGCTAAGGTTGCTGTCCTCCTGGCTAAGTGGAAGGGCAAGGGCCACTATGGATAGCTGTATTTGGAATGCCATGTGACTAAATCTGTCATCCTGTGTCCTCTCAGGGAGCTGCCTAAGATGGGGTCTAAGGGAACATTCTCACATCTGGCAAGGGGGGGGTCACACCTCTGCAGACTGAAAAGTCACTGGTCAGTTAGTTCCTTTACTCCAGGCTTTCTGTGACTCGGCTTTGCATATTAACAGCGTAGGATACTGATTAACACTGGCACATAGGTGTGTGGTAGATGGGCTCAGGGCTCCAGGTAAGTTCAGAGGCTTCTCTAAATCCTGTTTCAACCTGACAGGCACTGGGTCTGGGGAAGTCACTTCTTGCTATGTTTGGCTGGAGGAGAATCTATGAGCCAGTGCTATACCAGGAAGGCAGCCTTTGCCGCTTCCCTTCCTTCTTCCAAACCCACCTCCCCGCCCTAGAGCCCAAGGACCGAGGTCAGTGAAGAAGAGTCTAGAGGCAGGATTTTGGCTTAAAGGAAAATTGCTTTATTCTGCTTCCACCTAAGGGGCTGTTTCAAAGGCTCCAGGTCTGAGGGCTTCTTCATGAGCACCCTTAGGGTTGGGTAGCACACACCCTACTCCTCATTCAGGCCCTTTTGAAATAAAAACAAAGTCCAAATTAGCTCTGAGGAGGCCAGCATTGTGGGGACAGCACATAGAAACTGAAGTTGAGACTAGGGCACCTGGTAGGTGGAGACCCTTGTGTGACCTTGTGGGATCCCCTCTGTAGGTGGGGATATGTTTCCAGGGGTCAGTGTGGAAGGAGAAAGTTCTGGAAATAAGGGCTCTCGAGTAGGTTGGAGGGAAGCTGCCTCTGTGTGATCAATGTAGCCCTTGGGGTATTCTTACATGCTTGAGTTTCAAGGATAGAAACCAGAATGGAGTGGAAAATAGACATGGTAGAGAGAACTGGATCTAATGGGTGTGTATAAATTGGGGCCCTATAGGTTTCTGACTCCTCTTGATCTGGGGTTCCCAGAATCACTGCAAATGAAGTCACAGAGAACCTTAGATATCACTGGGAACTCAAACAACATTAGCCTTTGGGGTTTTGTGGTTCAGCTAGGGACTAAATGGAACGGTACTGTGTGAGGGGACAGAGGACTTGTGCCTGCTGTGGGAAGTGACAGGTGAGGTCCAGGGGAGGGACCCACCTTGGCACCAATGTCACGGCTCTTGGCCCGCAGCTTGTTGACCTGGGACTCGGCAATGTCTGCCCTCTCCTCTGCCTCATCCAGCTCGTGCTGCACCTTTCGGAACTTGGACAGGTTGGTGTTGGCCTGCTCCTCCTATGAGTGGATAATGGGAAGGGATAAGAAGGGTCGCTTAGCCTTTGGGTCCAGGGGGGCTGGCACCCAATGTCCCCCCTCCTGGCTTCAACTCCGGCAGGTTACTCACCGCCTCCTCAGCCTGGCGCTTGTAGGCCTTCACCTTCAGCTGCAGCTTGTCCACCAGGTCCTGCAGCCGCAGTAGGTTCTTCCTGTCTTCCTCTGTCTGGAGGGCAGAGGAGGGCAGGAGGTGAGAGTGCACAGACCTAGGGGACAGCCCCCACCCTGGCTTCTCTTCTCTTCTTCATTCCAAATGCTACATTCTGAGTCAATGCCTGCTCTCTGGTCCTCATAGAATATTTGAATTTGCTTATAATTTCTTACTCAAGGAGCATCTGTTTTTGAGACTTGGATTCTTTATGCAGCCAAGGCTAGCCTCAAACACATGATCCTCCTGCCTCAGCTTCCTGAGTATTGGGATCATAGGCATGTACCACTAAGCTCCCTTGGTATGTGAGTATTTTAAGTAACTCTATAAAGAGAGAACCCAATAATGGGATGCCTGAAAGTACAGTGAATTATGTACACTGTCCTAGGGAGCAGGATCCTGAAAGCCCTGAAACACCACGGAGCGTAAACCCACTGGCTCTGGGCCCAGCATGTACTGGGAGTGACTCTGGGGTCATGAGTATGATGACATTTCCTGGGCTGCAATGGGCTGACATGAACTTGATCTAGGCTAAGGACAAAGTGTGCTTTAGAGGGTGAAGCCTGCTAGACAGAAAGACAAACACATTCTAATGGAGCACTACGCAAAGCTGGGTTTATGCTGCCCTGGGTACCTGAAACGTTTTGAGACTTAAGTGAATGGCTTTGGTGTCTTTGGTAGCAGGCCCGGCTATAAATTTTCTGCTAGAGAAGGGTATTGCTGCTTGAAACCGTGCCTGTCTAGAGCACATCTCTGGTGGATGGGCTGAGGGTACATGTCAAGGTGGAACACACAGGCTATGAAGCTCAATCATGGTCCTCTGGGCCAGGGGACAACAGTCCATGACTGGGCAGAGTGGAAAGACATCCAAGGGCTGCATGCCAACTCTGGCTAGGAGAAGGTCTCAGCATCTCTCTGTTCCCCTTAGGTGCTTGTCACTGTGGCTTTAGGCCATTGTGTAAGGGCCGTGATTACAGCACTGCCCAACCTGGTAGGTGAGCTCCTTGATGCGCCGCTCGCTCTTCCTCATGCCCTTCACTGACTCTGCATTGCGCTTCTGCTCAGCCTCCAGCTCATTCTCCAGCTCCCGAACCCGGGCCTCCAGCTTCTGCAGCTGCTTCTTGCCGCCCTTGAGGGCGATCTGCTCCGCCTCGTCCAGCCGGTGCTGCAAGTCCTTGATGGTCTGCTCCATGTTCTTCTTCATGCGCTCCAGGTGGGCGCTGGTGTCCTGCTCCTTCTTCAGCTCCTCGGCCATCATGGCAGCCTGTGGACAGGAGGGGAGAGCATGTGGTCTGCTCAGGTCCTCGTGGGCTCACTACCCAGGCTAGGGAGATGCTGGTCTGGAGTGGGTAGGCAGGGGAGGGGACTCACATCTGTAATGGCCTTCTTGGCCTTCTCCTCTGCATTCCTACACTCCTGCACTGCCTCCTCCACCTCTGTCTGGAGCTGGGATAGGTCTGCGTCCATCTTCTTCTTCTGGTTGATGAGGCTGGTGTTCTGGGAAGAGAGTGGCAGAACAGGAAAACCACTAGGCATCTCTGAGGGGCCCTTTCCCCTGTCAGTCATCTGCTGAGCTCAGGAATTTACGGGGTACTCTCTCACCTGTGAGTGCAACAACTGCACCCGCTCGCTGGTCTCAATCAGTTCCTGCTCTGCCAGCTTCCGAGACCGCTCCGTCTGTTCCACCACGGCCCGCAGCTCCTCCAGCTCTGCCTGCAGCAGGTTGTTGCGTCTCTCCACAATGGCGATGTTCTCCTTCAGGTCGTCATTGGCACGGACGGCATCATCCAGCTGGATTTGAGTGTCCTGAGGATCAGAAAAATTAGTGTAAGCTAGACAGCCAGCTGTGGTACCTTCATGAAGCTGTCCCACAGAGTTGGATGTGGGTGGAAAGTCTGCTGTGGTTGCTCAGGGTTGGCCTGTCAGCTATCTCTACAATGATGGCATGACAAAAGAGAGCCAGCGTCTCTTCCGTCTGATTACCCTTTATAGAAATCAGCCCTTCCCTGGGTAAGGTGATCTCCTGTTTCCAGAAGTCTCTGAGTACCTTTAGCAAACTCTGGAGACTCTTCACTTGTTTCTGGGCCTCCGCAGCCATGCGGTTGGCATGACTGAGCTGGATCTCCATCTCATTGAGGTCGCCCTCCATCTTCTTCTTCACCCGCAGGGCCTCATTGCGGCTGCGCGT